AGACGGGGTTTCACCATGTTGACCAGGATGGTCTCGATCTCTTGACCTCGTGATCCACCCGCCTCGGCCTCCCAAAGTGCTGGGATTACAGGCTTGAGCCACCGCGCCCAGCCCTATAAAAACTTTTAAGCTTATAGCTTGTTTTCGGGTTATTTTCTATCCAATCTTGTTCCCACATCTTAGGAATGTAACACCTTTACAATGGAAAGGTAGTAATATACCCAAATTAGTGTTTTGATGTCCATTTGATTTGTATCTATAAGTTGTTGAAAACAGTTTTGAGTCAGGAATCTCTGAAGTGAAATAAGGAAAACGTGACGTGTTCATTATTGAAAGACTTGTTGGCAGTTTATTAGGATTAATTTTGCAATGCTTTGATATAATATGGTCCTTGAAATTTTATTTTTCTTTACAGTGACCTATAAGGAAGTGGCCCTATTAGATATCTATTAATAATATACAAGTCCAGGAAATTGAAAATAATAATTTTATACGTCTCCCCCTCTACCCTACACTTTCTCTTAACATCCTGGTACACCAAATTCTGATAATTTTTGTTTGTCTTTAAATATCTTTTGACTGTCTACTTCTCTTTCTCCTTTGCTTTTATGCCTTTTTCTTGTCTGATGCAGTGGCTCAACTGAGTCCACCGCTCTCCCTCTTTAAAATATTAAGTGGCGTCATCTCAGTTATATTTTACATAAGTTTGTCCTTAACTTCAAGGACATTCATGGTCTGGCTCTTAACCAGTTTTTCCAGCTACATCTTTCCCTGTGCTTTTTCTTTATCCCCTTCATTTCAGCCACAGTGGCTTCCTTTCCTTTTCTTGTATTTGATATCCTTTGTATAGGACTTCGTAATGCTGTTTCCTCTACCTTGAAACACTCTTTCCCTCTACTCTTCTAGATTTCAACTCTTGTAGCACTTACTAGGAGAGCCTTTTGTGGCCTCACTCTGATTGGGTGCAATCCATTGTACTCTGTGTAGTACTTTTCACAGATGGAAGTTTTTTGTATTTGTATTTGATATCATCTCTGTTAGACCATAAGGTAAATGAGGGGAGATACTGTGTCTTTACATACCTTTTTGTATTCCTATTGCCTAGCATATTGCCTAATGTAGATTAGGCACTGAATAAATACTTACTGAATGAGTAAATGTTAAATGATATCTTTTTCCCCCTATCTAATTTACTTGAAATACATAAAGTTCAGGCTGGGAGCGGTGGCTCACACCTGTAATCCCAGCCCTTTGGGAAGCCAAGGTGGGCAGATCACCTGAGGTCAGAAGTTCAAGACCAACCTGGGCAACATGGTGAAACCCTGTGTCTACTAAAAATACAAGAACTGACCAGACATGGTGGTGCACGCCTGTAATCTCAGCTACTTGGGAGACTGAGGAATGAGAATTGTTTGATTCTGGGAGGCGATGGTTGCAATGAGCTGAGATCATGCCACTGCACTCCAGCCTGGGTGACACAGCAAGACTGCATCTCAAACAAACAAAAAAGCCATAAAGTTTAATATAACTACATTCTTCTTGTTCCGTATCATTGCGTAATACATTTCTGTTCTTGGTGAAATTTAATTTTTTTATGTGTATATGTGTTTTAGTAACAGTTGTTTTTTAACCACAGTATTTTGTAGAATGTTGAATCTTTTCTAAGCCAGCCATCCTCAGATAAGTCTAACATAATTCATGTTCTTTTTAAAGATAAAGTTCTAAAGGAAATTGTCGAGCGTGTTTTTCAGTCAAACTACTTTGACAGCACCCACAACCACCAGAATGGGTTGTGTGAGGAAGAAGAGGCAGCCTCAGCACCTACAGTTGAAGACCAGGTAGCTGAAGCTGGTGAGTATTAGGTGGATATGAACTTTAGTTTAGGGTCCTGGTTTTATTTGATTTTGCTACAAGTTTAAGCGATACACTTACTTAGTTTTCATATATGTACAGTACACTAGATTTTATTATATATATATATTTATATTTTTAAGAATTTCTTTATTATACTTTAAGTTCTGTGATACATGTGCAGAACTGAAGGTTCGTTACATAGGTATACACATGCCATGGTTGAAGTTTGTTGCATCCATCACCCTGTTATCTACATTTGGTGTTTCTCCTAATGCTATCCCTCCCCAATCCCCCTACCCCTGCTATCCCTCCCCAGCCCTCCACTCACTAGATTTTATTTTTAAAGAGACTTTAAGCATGACAACATGTTAAGACAGATTAAGAGTAATTCCCAGAAGTATTCATTATCAGTCATTTGTCTTATTAGTCTTGATCACTATTAAAAACTGATAGTACTTTTGCAGTAGTATTGCAGGAGTATGGGTGAGGCCTACTGTTACAAGGATTTTCAAATAGGTTTTTGTCTGAAATGCTCAGATTTGCTATTTACCATGCCAGTGCATTGGATTAATAGTATGAGTTTGGTTTGTTTTGTTTTAATCATGGGGACATTATAACTCCATGATCTTGAACTATAAATTCCTCCAAGGCAAGGAGTCTTTTCCAGTTAATTGTAAAATTAATTATATAGCTAGACACTTAACTGAATATTTTTATGATAACTCTTAAGTTGATGAGTAAAATTCTGAATACAAGGAAACATTGGAGTATAAATTTTGCAATGGTTATGAAAGCATGGGTTTTAGAATCAGGGTGCCTGGATTTAAATCTTGGCCTCAATACTTACTAGCTCTGTAACTTTGGGCAAGTTAGTAAAACTCTTATACCTCAGGTTCCCCATTTAGAAAATAAGTCAAGTGTGTATACAGTGCCTGGCACATGGTAAGCACTTAGTAACTGGTAACTAGTGGGTGGAAACTAGAAGGGAAGATTGCATATTGGTGGAATTAATAGTTGGAGATAAACATAAGACAATCTTTTTCTCTCCTCTTACACTTACTAAGTAAGATTGTTAATCTGTATGCTGCTTTATCCTATTATGAGAATAGAGAGTGATTTTAATATAGTAGCTCTTTATTTGCATTATACATTATCTGAAATAGCTATCATTGAACTTAACGTAATTCTGGAATAAATGGTAAAGAAAACTTTCTAAATATGTTTTTATGATATATATATATATATAAAATACTGTTAATTAACTTTGTAAATAAGTTTAGATTATGTGATGGTGAACTATTTAGTTATTTGCAATTTTTTTTTTTTTTTTTTTTTTTTTTT